GATACCTGAGCAGCCTGATGTATATAAAGAACAGATTTAAATTTTCTTTTTTAAAACCAGAACTGGTTGTTTTCACCTCACTGTTTCATGCAGACATCCTACACTCTGTGCCCTTTAATAAGGGTCCTGTATGTGTGTAGCCACCATTCGTTGCTCCCAAATTTCAGGCACTAGTCACTTAAATATACTGCACTTGCTTTAATGGGAGTTCTCCTGCTGTTCTAAAGATTTATTGAATTAATCTAAAAGTTAAAAAAAAGTTCAGTTAGAAACTGACTACCAGAAGGTGAAACACGAACACATGACAGTGCTTGTCATGGGTGCAAAATGTCGTGACGTCAAGTTTAGGGGAATTGGGAAACTTGGAAGTCAAATATGGTAAGACCTTTTGAAATAAAACGTCTGCATGTTTCAGCTGTGAATGGGCATTACATGTTCCAAACCCAGGAGGAGTCTCCCACTGCTTCGAGTAGCATTGGAAGTAGGTTGGGTGTGGGATGGAATGGTAAGGTCACAACGAAGTGCCTCATTTCTAAGCCTCACTTTCTGTTTATTCACATCAGCATTGGTAGCTATTTTCTAAACAATGCTGTACATTTATTAGTGTCAAATGGGGGGAAAAAATAGAAAGAAAAAAGCAGCAAACTTCTCTGATACATGAACAATGGATCTGGAATAAACTGTGACTATTGATCCTAGACAAAAAGAAAGCATTAAGCTAAACAAAAGTTCAGATTGAGCAACGCTTTTTGCTACAATGTTAAGAAACTTGAGCATTTCAAGGAAAAAAAGATGATTCACCTACCATTCTATTTAATAAACGAAGCTTGCAAATATTTTCCACATTAATTGAACCGCAGTTTACACAGAATCGCAGTTTACATAAATCTACTCTGTGTATTACACTGAACAGTTTAAAAACCTTTTTTTTTTTTGTTCCTGCTAAATAATTTGGAGTATGACTGCTTGTCTTGCTAAATATTAAACCAAAACTCATAACATTTTAGTTGCAATTAATCCCAGCAGTTATACCTACGTTACCAAAGAATGTGAAAACAGATGTATTCATTAGTTTGCACTCCTGCAGGCATGATACAGTAACATTTTCTGGGATCTTTACAAACTCCTTTGGGAATGCTGGCTGCATGTTTCATTTAGATAGCTGGCGTATTTTCCTGTCTTTGCACATTTTTAGCAACTGCAGCATTATTTATACAATTTGATGGAGTATGTGGCTTAAGCATGACATAGTGGCCTTGCCAGATAAACAGCTGAATGTTACTCTTGAGCCTTCACTTAGCAGTTCCAGCTTTCCCCTTTTCAGAGGTTTGGTGGTTGGTTTTTTTTTTTTTTTAGATAAAAACCAAATGAATCAGAAGTGATAAATACAATACTGTTTTAGTGGAATGTGAAATAATGCCATGGAAGAGATTCCCTCATCTTTCCTCTTATGAGGTCAGAAAAACGTGTTCTCTCTAATACTTTCCCCCCCCCTGTATTCTGTGCATCTTATTTAATGTGTTGGTTGGTATAAGTAGAAATGTTTGCTGATTGCTCATTTTTAAATGTTTGCACAATTAAAGCTGTACAGTAAAACAGTAAAAAAGCCTATCTAGCTTTATAGGCACAAAAGAGAGTGATAAGCTTTTAGTGTTTATGATTGATCTGATTTGGGGGAAACAAGAAATATCATTTAGGAGACTCTCCATGAGAGATTGCAGAGTGCATTTCTGCTGTTATATTCTACATTAATACAAAATGATGGTTGCCTTTTAAAAAATCAAGAAGCTCACTGCAGAGAAAATACTCTCAAATTATATAAGTGCATACACCACTGTGTTCCTAGGTGAATTTTTTTTTTTTAAATTCTCTCCTGCAGAGGTTATTTATGTATAATAACATTTAATAAATCTAGAGAAATTCTGAATGTTTGTGCTCACCTGATCAAAATGTACACAGAAATCTGAAGCCACAGCTTTACTCTGACCTGCACTGGAGGGTAATACAGCCATACTAAACCATGATGTTCCCAGGTGAAATGCTGGGGTTTCAACCCCAAGCCCCAAATTAAGGTTGACATGTGGGTGACTCCCACAGCCCTTCCCAAAGGGGGGTGACTTTACCTTTAGGCTTCCTTCCAGGGTGCAGCCGGCCTGGCAGACAGAGCCATTGGGTAAAGGAGCCCCAGGGGTCCCGCAGTCAGTAACAAAGGTCAGGTGTCCCACTGAGGGATAAAGCTGGGACCATTGCAGGAGGGGCAGTGTCTGTCTGTGAGGTGGGTGCCCTGTGCAGAGTTCCCTGTTGGGGAAGGACCTCCCGCCTCCCTGGGACTGGGCTCCAGTCAGGCCTGGCTTTTGTAAACGTGGGCTGTGTAGAGATTCAGTGTGTGGCTTCCTTGGTCTGATGTGTTTGGCTTGTTGACTCAGTTGTCTCCCGTCCCTTCTATGGGATACTGCGTGTCCCCATTTATTCCACCCATTGTTGGTTGTGTGGTGTCGTTGCTGGGGTCAGTGGGATTGATGTCAATTATGTATAATCTGACTGATTTGTTTGTACCCCCAGCGCTCACCCATGTACTGACCCTTTTGTATCAAATACAGCTTGGTTATTGGTTCATCTTTATGCTGGCTGTGTCCTTCATGCTAGGCCTGATAACTGGCAAAACACCAGACTCTGTGGTTCACTTTCTGCAGTAGATGTGCAACACTTTGTGAAAAGCAAATTCTTTGCTGTACTTTGCATCCTCAGAAAGGTGAAGAGTGCAATAGGCAATGGGAGAAGGTAGAGTGGGATGTTACTGCTGGTGCAGAGCGTGGGAGGGTGGCTCAGCCGGTGTGGACTGAGCTCCTCAGAGGTGTTGCCAGTGCTCACTGAGGGTGTCTGTCCCTGGGACATGCTGCCGTTGTGGTCTCTCTTTTCATGGCCTGTCCCACCATAAATTTTGCAGGTGACCAAAGCAATAAGAGCAACTGTAGTGTTGTAGGTGTGTCATACAACTCTGTTAAAATTGTTCTCATTTCAGGTAGTGCCTACCAATTTGAAACGTGCCCAGTGTTTGTTAAACTATAGGATTTGCCATGACATTTGATGAGCTGTTTCAGCATTTAACTATTTTCACAGTTAGGTTTTGAGCCCTGTTTCTAGTCTGATGTTTTAATTTCTACTCCCAGCCCTTTGTTAACAAATTCCTCTCCATGTAGATTCATAAAAGCTGTGGACTTGTAATTTCTTAAATTCCTCTTTGTTAAATTAAATTAATTAAGCTCCTTTAAAGATATATTTTAATTTTTTGCATTATGTTGTTTCTCTGATTCTTTTGAAGCTGATCCTTCTTGATTTATAGACATTGATACTGAATTATTGTAGTTTATCTAAACATGGAAGTAAATACATCTTTCCATCCCTAAATGATACACCCTATTTTAACAAGAAAAGATCACGTTAGCCCTTTGCTGCAATGTCATACATGGGAGATCATGATTACCAGATTTGCCTTATCTGAATTGAGTCCTCAACCCATATTTTGTTTCTAGATGTATGGTCTTGCTTTCAATTGCTTGGCACTCCAAGTAACCCACTGCTCTTTGCACGTATGACTTCCCCACCGTGTATCATTTGCAGATTCTAACATTGCAATGGGCATGTTGCCTCCCAGATCACTAATTATTTTACAGGGAGAACATCTGACTATTCCTTTCCTTTATCTAAAACCCCATGCCATACTTTATTACTAGGCTGTGTAACCCTCTACCCATGGTGCATATCCTTTCCCCAAATCAACCTGCACTTCAGTTTCTTTCAGCAGCTCCACCATACTCAGTGCCCATTCCTTGGCCACAGAGAGGGGCAAGTGACTGTATTGGCATCAATTTAGGCTGAGACGTGGTGGTGTCTCAGACTGGTCCTTCCCTGCCAGTGCAGGAGAGGGAGGATCAACAGTGAAGATGTGTTACAGACAGTAATGCGTCTCTTCTAAAGCCACCTGAGAACGATGCCAACAGTCAGTGCTGAGTTTGGCTCCATATTGCTGAAGTGCTTTGGCAGGGGCACAAGGGACCTGGAAATATCTCTGTGAGCATTTGTTGGTTTTGATTTGGATGACTGTGGCTAGGAATGAGTCTTATATTATAGAAATGACAGCATATGGTAACGGCAAAACTGCCCAGCAGAAGAAAGCTAACCCCCAGCTTTGCTAGGTGCTTCAACAAGGAGCCCAACTAATGTGACAAGGTGCGAGGTAAAGAGCCAAGTGGTCTTTAACATCTTCAGCAGATAGTCTCTAATACTTATCTCGGGTTTGGGGCTACAAGGAGTGTTCACAAAACATGTCTTAAATTGAACTGCCCAACAGTAGTATTAATTTTAAAAGACCTTCAGAGACTCCCATCTAACCTGTCTAGCTTCACCAGACCAGATGGGGTCACACATGAACTACTGTTCATGGAGTCTTGTGAATAATCAGGTTAGAGAGGAAACAATATGCTTGAGTCACCACAATAATTTTTCTCTGAGAATGGGGGGCACAAGAAGAGAAGGGAAGAGAGTTCATTCTCTTCAAAGCTGTTGCATAAAACCCAGTGTATCAAATCTCAGTAGTAAAACTGAAAGACAAACTCTGGAAATTTCTTAGGATTTTAATCAGAAATGTGTAGAATTGTGAAAGAGGTCAAACTTGGGTGAGAAAGAATGATCAATAAGCATCCATTATTTCAATTTCACATAGAATGCTTCTTTTATTGTTCACTTTCTAGGAAACTCAACAATATTTAAAATAATTTTTACTGATTATATTCCCATTACCAGTCCATCTTTAAATGTATTCAATAAGGCATACCCTCAGTGGCTGGCCTGTATAATCATAGTGGTTTTGCTGGCAGGAAACTCCCAAAACTGAGGAAGAGCTGGTTGAATTTGTTTGCACACAAGAATGGTCCTACTAAGCCCATTGGGACACTGTGAGTGGGTAACGGGTTGCAAACCCACATTGCTTTCAAGTGAGAAAAATTGCTAAAATAGTAAAATTGGTGTTCTTCTCTATATATTAAAAAGTGTAGGATTTGGGGACATCTTGCTATAAGAGCTGAGAATTCAGTGGGGAAATGCTGTAAAATGATTTTTTTTTTTAAATTTAGAAAGTTTTTCATATGATTAGTTGGCAGCAGAATGAAACTTGCCTGTCAATACATCACCAAGCTTATTTTGGAAAGGATTAAATGAAATTTGCCTATCTGAGGACCCGGACTTTGAGCGCTGGGATCTGTTTGTAGCATGCTCACCATTAAAAGGAGTGTTGCCAGTGCATGTGCTTTTTTGTGGTGGGATAGTTCGATATTTCTGTTCAAGCTAGAAGTAGTGAACAGTTCATTTTCTCTTGTGGGTTTTGGAGGTACATCTCCCCAGCAGTCAGCCCCTTGAGTTATGTTGGTTTAACTTTATCTGGCAGACCAGCTTTTTTGAGAGTTTCAGAGCCCATGCTACTAAAAGAAGTGTAACTATCGCTCCAGCAATTAAAATGAGGTCTCTCCAAAAGAACTCAAGACACTTGACTGGGAGAAGCCTCTTACAAACCCCCAGCTCATTCCCAGTCAGCTGCCCCAAGGGCTTCATCCTCACGGAAGCTGGGGTTGCGCATCTGATGTCTGCAAGTGAGGGTGCAGAGGCGTCTTCTAACCAGAGTTTTAGATACAGAATATGACAGTCACAGGTCCAAGGATTGTCAAATATTTTCACTTCCTCCAGGCTACGCAAGCTGTCCAGGACACCAGGAGGAACTGAGGTCAGGCTGTTGTTCTGTAGATAAAGCCTCTTGGTGTTCACGGGCAAGGCCGGCACTTCCGTCAGCTTCCTGGAGCTGCAGTCTATGTGCAAACCCTTCATTTCTCCCAGTGACTCACAATTGCAGGAGGGAGGACAGACTTCGGTTTGGGTCATGTGGAACAGCAATGATATGGCAAATCCTGCAACAACGATGAATTCTGTCTTGTTCATGCTCCAACTGCCCAGAGAATAATAACCTGATAAGTATGGTTCATTAGCATGTTTCTAAATGCAGAACTACAACACAGCTATTTCTTTCTCAGGATTACTTGTGACATTTTTTTTGAAAGAAAAGCTTTAGCTTTCTGTATTTCCCACAGAGCCATTCTTCCTGACATTAAGTAGCATAAATGCAACTGGGAGAGAGCACAGTGCTTCCATTTTGTCTCTAGTTCATTGCTTTTCCTTCGTAATTGTATGAAATATATTATTGGCCAAAGTTCCGGAACAGAGTATCACCAGGAGACAATGGTAAAAACGAGGCTAGTTTTAAGCAAAGATTTTCATTATGTTTCTATACTGTCATAGATCTAGTGTTAAAATTGTGTGTTGAAGTCAGTTTCAAAATTTAGTTTAAGAGAATGAATAATTGTACATGTCTAAACATCTTTCCGAGAGTATGAAGATTCTAACCAGGAAGGATGTCTTTTTTGTGGCAGAAAAAGTTCTTTTTTGCTGCCTTTAGCTTCATGTGTCTCTGAGAACATACAGTTTAAGATTTAGATGAATAGAGAATTGGAAATTTTGCATATATGGTACTGCTTATCTTTTAGGGATTAAATAACCATGCTTTGGGCCAGCAGGTAATTATCCCTTTTGCTATGTCATTCCCACTTCTGTAGAGTGTATCCCACTAGGCTTCCATCTTAGTCCCTTCTATTTGGCAGTTTAAAACTTCTACAGCTATTCCCTTCCTGTATTTCCTACTACTTCTCTTCATTCAAAAACACCTAGATAGCCTTGGGACTGGATTGGAATTTGAAATACAAACTCCCTTGTACAGGTTGGGGAATTTCCAATCCTGAAACCATCTTTCATTACGATCTTAATACATCCCATCATAATTGAAATGCATTTTCCTAATTTTTTTCCAATTCATTTGCAATAAATAAGTAATGAAGCAAGAATATCTGACTGTGTATTGCCTTGGATACTATGTGGAGAACGGCAGATACTGTGAAAAGTGCTGGGTTTTTATCAGTATACACTTAAAGAATTACATCGACTGAAGAAGGTGAAAACAGTTTATAACTGTTTGCAGGCAAGAATTAGAAGCACATTAGAATCATACAAGAGTATGACTTTAAAATTGGACTGGACAAAGCCTGATAAATAGAAAGCAGGTAGAGCAGATTTATTAACAACAAATAGAGTAAAAGAGTTTTTTACATATTAAGGTCATAAGGATCTTAAATTACACTAATGTAGAATGGAATTTGGAAATAATCTTCAAAGTGTAGAGATTTTAGAACTCAAAAAAATTTTAAAAGTTTTTCTCTTAAACTTAAGCTCGGACTGATTTTTTTTTCTCTAGAAAGTTTGATTTAATAAAGACTAAAATTGTAGGAAAAATTGATTGGTTTTCTTAATTTACTTCAATTTACTTACAGGGATTATGCAATTATCTTTTCAAAATATAGTTAGACAGCTTCAGATTCCTGATCTAAATACCATATTCCTACATTTTAAATAGGATTAATGCTATGTAAAACTTCATGACAGAGAAGCTGAAATATTAATCATAATCTCCTATGCCTTTCTTAGCAAGTAGTTAGTCTGAATATCTTTGGTCTGAATGTAGATAATCCTCTGTTATTTTTCAAGAAATCTACTAGAGCTACTTTTTTCAAAGTAGACATCTTAAAAGGACAGACTATGTCATCTCACTAAGAATCAGTTAAGCAGTATCTATAGAAAAGACAACCTCTTCCGATTTAATATATAAACAGCAAGAAATTCCAGATCAAATAGAAATAAGAACTGTGGCAAAAATGCAGAGGGGAAAAGCTGGTGAGATGCCTCGCTGATACTTACCGTTGCTTATTTCCTCTTGAGTCCTTCTCTGCTTGGTGAAGTGTTGGAGTACATCTAGCAACTGGAGCTGACTTTTTGAAGAGCCAGTAAGGAAATGTGTTAAAGATGATGAGCTTTTTCCTATTGCATGATAGGAAACTGTTCCCACTGGAAGATGCTATATATGTTTGACATGTGTCATGGCATATAGCACTCGGGGCATTTTTTTGTTTTCTGCAGACAAGAGGAAATGCTTTTGAATTTTATTTCCTAATATATTTTTCCCATTAAACCTGACAATGTCTGGAAAACCTAAAATGACTCATGTGAAATCTAGTGGGTTTTTTTCCCACACAAGCAAGCGCAAGCAAAGGGAGCAGAAGTTAGCCTGTGAAACAGTTCTTCTGTTTTAGTCAAAGCCAGGTGTGCTTGATATCTGCCTTTCCACTGATTAAGTAAAATTTGTAAAAACACACCATATCATTGAAATAATTTATTAGTCAGATGAGACTCTTAACGGACAGAGAAATATTAATGCCATTGTGTTGAAATAGAGATGAAAAGTCAGACAAAATAGAGTATTTAATTCTGGTCACCCCTGTTCAAAAAAGACTAAGCCAACAAGTGAGAGGAAGGTTTCTGTGATGATCAGGGATTTGGAGAACCTATCCTGAGCGTGCCCTGTGCCCTGCAGTGGGGCGGTGCAGAAATACCCGGCGCAGAACCACTCAGGCAGGTGGGTGACCCTGACACAACCTTGGGTGTGAAGAAGGGCATGTGTATGGATCAGTGGACCAATTCCTATTTTAGTTCTTGGGATATTTTGTGGAATATAATTCTTTTGTAATGTCCTAGCTTGGTTTGGGTGTTAGAAGTGAGTTCCAGAACAGTCAGGGAAGGTGTGCTGGGAAGGGCTCACTGTCACAGCTCACAGAGCTGCCCGGGCCCTTGGGCACACAGGCAGCCTTTCTTCCCACTCAAGGGAGCTCTGTATAGCTCGAAAGAGGACTATGACCCTGCAGATTTCTTCACATGAAGTTGCTGAAGAATATCAACTGCTGAATAACAGCGATGTGACATCTTAGAATGTAACATGCTCTGTGTATATCTGGCTGGAAAACCAGTAATTCAGGATGATATGAGTTTATGTATCTGTTAATCTAAAGAAATAATGCCATGTTTGTGTAAAAGAAAAACAAAAACTGGATTTTGTTTTAACTTTTTTGTACATGAAATTTTGGAATAGAATTGAAATAAGTTTCCCTTTGCTTTAGCTACCAAACATGAACGCTCTAGAATTAAGATAGCAGTTGACATTTGGAAACCCAGTGTGTTGTGGAGATGATGTTTCATTCAGGGTAGTTTGTTTTGTATGCTGTTTTGGGGACAGGCTTTGAGCTGTGTTCCGCATTTGGAAATGAAACCCGCGTGAGTTTCAGATGTTGTAGATGTGCAGCAGAGCCCTGCTTCTGAGCTGTTGTTTCTTTAGACCATGCTGTTCTTGGGGGAAGGGAAATTTTTGACATTTAAAATTATTCTGATAGCAATTCTTATTGTTTAATTCTTACTTATATTTACAGTACTTTTCTCCATGAAGTCTAATCAGTTACCAGTAGCCTGAAGTTTGTAGAAACTTCCTTAAGAAAATGACTTAATCTGTACCTCTGCTCTTTAGTATTTTAAAAGATCATTTAGACAGTGCTGGAGGGAGAAGACAAAAATACTTCAAGTCCTGTTTGAATTTTGATCTTTTCTATAAAATGAGGAAAATTATTCCTCCTTTGAAATGAATAGTTCATCTGCCTGTCATATGTTCAACAGCTGGATCTCTGAGTGGACTGCTAATAATGGGAAGATGCTTCTTAGGCCTCTTAAGGTCTTAGGGATTGTTTCTTTTTTTTGAAAGTACATCACTAGATCATAGATTTCACAAATGTCTGTCTTCCCTCACGCCTGTTTTCTGTATCCCACAATCTATGCCATATGTCTTAAGGAATGATATCACACAGAATAAAAATTTTTCCTGTTGAAAATTGTTGAAATCCCATTGAAAATTCCTGGTGAAATCAAATGCTGCATCTTTTTGCATTGAAATGGATGGAAAAGATTTGGAATCCTCTGGAATCCATACTCAAATTCTGTGTTATGGGTAGTCCTCACAAAGGTTGTCCTGTGTTCTTCCGGCTGCTGTGTCAGATGTGGCTGGAGAAGTAGCTGCTGCTGCCGAGTCCCTGAACCTGCTGCTTGTGCTGAGGACTGTGGGCTGGTTTCTTCAGCTCTGTGTGGAGGTGGATGTATGTAGGGAGTATCTGACAGAACCAAAGCTTAAAATGCAAGGCATTTGCATTTAAGATTTTAGGGCTATAGCTTTTTGTAGGCCAAGTCAGGATTCTTCATTTAAGAGGATTTATTAAGAGCCAATTTGAAAAAAAAAAAAAAAAGAAGTTATAATCTGCTATAATCTTGTTATAGTCTGAAAATATATTTTCCACAGAGTGAATCCGCTTGAACTTTTTGTAAATGAGAAAGGCTCTGTCTCCTCTCAGTGGAGAGGGTATTTCTGAACACTTGTTTCCCAAACAAAACCTCTCTGCCTCACTCCCTGGAAGCACACTTCTCTGGATTAGTTCTTCTGAGGCCTTGACTCCTCCAGTCAGTTATGTGGGTGCTGTGTCTGATGGCTTATACAGGGAGAAAAAGAGTTGAAGGGAGATTACTACTTTCCTTTCAGTTAAGAATAAAAGCTGCAAGTTAAAGATAAATGTGCAGTCAAATACATGACCTGCTAGGAGGAAATTCAGGCAGAATCTGCCATTATTTTTTATAGATGGTTTTAAGGAGTTATAGTCATTTATTGCTGTCATGACCTGTTCTTGACCTAGCAAGACAGAAGTCTTTCTCAAGCACTGTTCCCATTTCCAATGCTGAAAAAACTTGCCACATCACATTGTCCATAGATAGCAAGTGTTTCTCATTTGAGTTCTATCACCTTAATTAAGTCTGTTCTTTCATATTTTCAAACAGGTTGGTGAGAACAGACTAACCGAAGTATTTCTTTATAATTGGATGTGAGTCACAGGTAATTAATTAATTATACAGATAAGTGAATAAGCAAAAAAAAAAAAAAGATTGATCATGGAATTCACTCACACATCAAAGAATATTGCTTTCAGAAATAAAGAAAATCTGTGGTTTCTCTCACATCAGGAGTCATTGTCACCCTAGGGCCAAAGTATTCCTATTATCCATTGCGCCCTAGAGAACTAACCTGCTAAATCCTTTTTAGTATTTATACATAGAAGGACTCTGAATTTAATCCTGTCCATATTCTCCTTATTCTTTTGTTTCCTGCTGCACATTTATTGTGGTTTTACCTCATCTAATTCTGCCTCTGTCAATTCAAATATTCCATTTCTGCAGAAGATTATTACACAGGCAGATAAACTCTTGTAATTTAGGAAATTCTTCTCCTAATTTTTACTCCGCCCATTTTATCAAATAATTCTTTCTCCTCCCACCCATTCTTGCTGTTTTCTTGCTCTCCCTCCTGCTGTTTTAGTTATTCAAAACTGCGTAGGTGCTGTGCAATCATCAGCTATTGCTTTCCTTTCCACCAGGTGTCACTCAAGTTATTTTGTTGTTAAATGTTGAACCTACGCTGCCTGACTCAAACCTTCAGATGTAATTTATCAATTCAAAATAATTGTCTGGAAGACTGAAACATTCTATTATTTTAGGATATTACCTTTTCCGTAGCCTCCAAGATAAAAATGTAACAGGTGTACAAAACGTATGTAGCTGTCGAAATCTGTATAAATCAGCTTGCTAATCACATATTTGTGTTCTACGGAACTCTTAGTGACTTGAGCCTGTTAATGAAAATAAATATTTATAGACAATCTGGATTCAGACTGTCCTCAGGAAAATATTAATACCAGTTATGCTGAGTTGTCACAATGGCAGAGTGCACATGGTGAAGGTTCTAGAGAGACTCCGAAAGCATCATTAAAGGGCCTCCAGGCAGGCCGTATTCCCAGCACGAGGCAGTGCGGGGCAGTGCGGGGCAGTGCGGGGCAGGTCCCTGCCCCCGGCTCAGCCCCTCAGCCCGGCCGTGCCCGCGGGCACCAGCGCCCCGCCTGCCCTGCGCTCCCACAGCCGGCCGCCGGCTTCGCACCTCGGGGCGAACGGCTGGGCTTGGTAAAAGGGGGTCACCTCTGCCCCTCTGCCTTGCGTGCTCTGCTGAATTATTTTGCTCTAACGAAAAGGAATTCGTTTTCTAGCTCTTCATACACCGACACTGAGAATACAAGGCTGTGTGTTTCAGTCAATTACAGCACAATGCTGCATTCACGCCAATGTTTTGTTTAGGATCAGGATTGAGCTTTCAGAGCAAATCTCATGATCTTCTCAATTTTCCATGCATGCCTTTTCGATGTAACTAAACCGCGGTACTCAGTCTGGAAATACATTTGGTTTGTTCCAGGTGCTAATGGAGGTTCAGTACCTGGGACCAGATTAATTATAGTCCAAAATAGCACCTCCTCTCCAGGTATATGTGGTTGGAAGTGATGTCCTCCACTCCAGACTGTTTCACTGCCCTGATCCAGCTCTTTGGACCACTCCGTCTGTTGATACGGACGTTGCCAGTGTGACAGCCAAAGAGCTGTCCATAAATGAACCTTGTTTGCACACCCTGGTGACTATGCAGCATAAGATATTTAAGCATCTTTACCAGGTTACTGCATAATAGCTGTGGTGGGACTGTAAAATGCATGAGGTTAAACAGCGTTCTGAGTGTTGTGGTGTTGTCCTTGTTTAAGGATTTTGGTGATAAACAAAATCAATTTTCAACCCTATTAGTTAAAGTCCTGCTATTTTCTGCTTGAAGGGTTGGAAATGTTGGAGGCAGGGCATTGGACTTTGTGGTCACACTGAACAGTTGTTCTTGGAAAGATCAATTAGAAATTAATTAGTGCCTGATGTAAAAGACTATGATGGAAAAGCCCAAGTGATGAGTTTACCATGATAACTCCCTGAATTTAACTCACTGTCCATAATTCATAAGATGGTTAGTTTTTACATTGCTCTTTATA